TGTCAATGACCTCTAAGCTCCAGGAGAAAATTCTGCCATCAAAAAATTAGTTTGGAATGGAAAAAAGTTAGAGGCTCTAAAAAAGAAAAGTGATGGATCTAGAGTTTGCCTTTAAAGGTATTTTTTATTGCTAGGACTGAGCAAGGATGTCTGTTTTAGGAAAAGCCAATGTCTTCTAGTCATGGATCCATCTAAGTCATCAAAGTTAGTAATCCAACACAGGAGTGTTCCACCAAAAAATAATCTCAATCATTTCATCTGCTTTGTAGCCCCAACATTTAGAATAGCGCCTGGTACCAGCAGGTGCTAAGTAAGTAACTGCTGAATGAACTACCTGTATCTCCAAGGGGCCCCCGTATCCGCTCACAGTCACCTGGTAGAGAAGCTAACAGAAGCCAAGAAGGAAACTGCTACTAGAGACCACGAATGAGAAAGCACTTTAGTGCATGAACACCAGTCATGACTACATGCATGTTTCACTAATAACATTACCTGCATTCATAAATGTAAGGATGGAAGAACAGCCCTGGAGTGAGACTGCCCAAGTTTAAATCCTGGCACCACCTCTTGTTGGCTGTGACCCTGAGCAAGGTACTAACTTCACTGGGTCTCTCCACATCTAAACACACAAAAGGAAGTAATAGTATCCACTGCATACGATAGTTGAAAGGATGAAATGAGATAAGTACAGTTCCTGGGACACAGAAGTAATAATTACTAATAAATACTAGTAATTATGCACTGTATTATTTTGATATATACCCCTGCTTTTATCTCTTGGGAAAACAGAAGATCATAGATCAGTTCACTTCTCTCCATGAAAAGATAGGGCCTTGGGGCACCTGGGTGGCTCGGTTGGTTAAGCGACTGCCTTCGGCTCAGGTCATGATCCTGGAGTCCCGGGATCGAGTCCCGCATCGGGCTTCCTGTTCAGCAGGGAGTCTGCTTCTCCCTCTGACCCTCTTCCCTCTCGTGCTTTCTATCTCTCATTCTCTCTCTCTAATAAATAAATAAAATCTTAAAAAAAAAAGAAAAGAAAAGATAGGGCTTAAATCAAGATTAGGCAATCAAATGCATTCTTTTCCCTGAGGGATAAATGAAAAGAAAAAATTGGTTCTTTAAATCTGGATTTTTTTTGACCCTTCCTCAATCTTTGTTTCTTTTCTTGCTTTTTCTTCCCACATCTACATAAAAACCTTTCCTAAGCTCCTGTGGACCTAGCTTAGCCACAGGCACTGCTATCTCCAGGAGACAGTTCTTATCTCTGGACTGCAATACTTCTGTGGTGCTGGGTAGGACATTTAACCTTGCAGGGCCTCGTTTCCATATCTGTATTACAGAGGAAGAGTACAGTGGTGGAGTAGATTATCTTTAAATTCTCTCCCAAATCTAAAAATCTACAAATAGGGGGTGCCTGGCTGGCTCTGTTGGTAGAGCATGCAACTCTTGATCTTGAGCTTAAGCCCCATGTTGGGTACACCCAACATTTATTATAAATAAACTTTAAAAAAAAAAAAAAATCACGGAGCACCTGGGTGGCTCAGCCGGTTAAGCGCCTGACTCTTGATTTCAGCTTGGATCGTGACCTCAGGGTCATGAGATCAAGCCCTGGGTCAGGCTCCACACTGCGGTGTGCGGTCCGCTTGAGATTCTCTCTCCCTCTGCCCATCCCCCCACCCTCTCTCGCGCGTGCTTGCTCTCTCTCTCAAAATAAATCCTTAAAAAAAAAAAGTCACACTTTCTTTGATTTTTTGTGCTACCTAACATCTCCCCGTCACAGTGTTTCTGTTGTGGAAAATGGGTCTAATTTAAAATGACATTACAGGTTAACAACAGACATGGAAAGACATTTACAATATAGATTTCTGGTGAAAAGGCAGATTACAAATAATATGATCAGCAATATTAAACCCATTTTAGAAAACACATAGGCATACACCTACACACATATCTGACAGGGTACACTCTGAGTTGCTTAGAATTTTTCTTTAAAAAATTCTCTGCGGGGCGCCTGGGTGGCTCAGTCAGTTAAGCGGTTGCCTTCGGCTCAGGTCATGATCCCAGGGTCCTGGGATCAAGCTCCATGTCAGGCTCCCTGCTCGGCGGGGAGCCTGCTTCTCCCTCTGCCTGCCTCTCTGCCTACCTGTGCTCTTTATCTCTCTGTCAAATAAACAAAATCTTTAAAAAAATAAAATAAAATAAAAAATTCTTTGCAAATCTTTATTTTTTCATTTTTCTATACTGAACACTTACAGCTTCTGAAATAATAACTCAATCAGGTGTTTTATTTAGCAAGAAAAATGGATCTGGCTTCCAAACTATAACCAAATGCCTCCTTGAAGGGAAGCTAGGCACCCAGCGGTTCCCTTGCACAGAGGCACAAGGTCCTTCGCATTGTTTGTCTGGGACTAACCTGGGGTGGTGACACTGAGATGTTTCTAGGTACCAGCCATCTGGTACCACCAAGAATGACCCAGCTCTCTCCCTCCCATTCACCTCAATTTCCAGAGCCATTGGCTTCCCCCTTACAAGCTCTACTGATTTGTAAGCCTCTGGGCAGAGTTCACAAAACATGACCAAAGGTCCTAAACTACAGTTCAGGATTTTAACATTCACATTCAATGACAGAATCAATGACAGATGTCAATCCTCTCTAATCACAAGAAAAAAATAACCCATCATATTTAAAAGCATCATCTTCAACTACTTTATCCAGTAAAGCGCTACGGTTTTTAACACAAAGTGCTGACTCTTGACAGACTCTGGCATACTGAAGAAAGCCACTGTTGAGTCTTCCAAGATCTGATCAGCCGACAACAACTTCATCACCAGGTACAGGTATCACCACACCATAAGGCGTGAGGATTGTTCTGGCAGCTCAGTGACCTACCAGCAGAAAGGTGCCTGAGAAACCTGTGATTTCCCAGCTAACAAAAGCAAAGCACATAAAGAGAAATGAGAGGAAGGCATACACCAAATGCAGTAAAGATGAAAGCAATATGAAGGAAAGGAGTAGAAACAGAATGGCAGTCCAGAAAAGTATTCTGAGGGACTCCTCCTACTGAGTGAGCCAAGAGGTTACCAGACATAGTATTCTCAGAGGTATATAAGCTACACCTCAAAGCTGCTCACGTCAATTTCCAATAACATGATATCTAGCAAAAGCTATACACTGAAAAACAAATTGCTTTCTCACCGGCTCATACCCTTATCTTTTAAAAACTGTAAGCAATTTAGGTCAGAGCCCTTCCCTCCGTTCAAAATATTTTTAGAGACAGATTACAACAAAGAAACATAGTGTCTACACAGCACTATTTCACTGCAAGAAAACAAAACTGCCAACTATAAGGATCCGAAAAATGTGACCATTTTGGGACTGAACCACTCCCCTTCCCTAATTATCCCTCAAAGGAAATATATCAGGCACTGTGGGCAAAGAGAGAAAACATGTCTAATTACAACATGTGCACTTGGTGGATGAAAAATCTGAACATTCTTGAACTGTGGCCACATTTCAGAAGACTTTCCATTTGTAGTTTAATCTCACTGAAGAGGAAAGGTTAAAGATCAGTTGTGTTTCAGCAAGGACTCAAAAAGACACAAAGAGAAACCGACATTACTTACCCACGATACAAGGGAAGCCTGTTGAAAATTCAAGATGACCCTGACTCCTTATCAAGGATCTAAGGAGGAAGTGGTTTTTATTTTCAAATTAGGACTAAAAATAAACCCCATTTCAAGAGTATTCTCAACTAGAGAAAACACAAATTTGAAGATGCGTATATAAAGGCTTCAGGCCTCAGGTGATGTTATAGAAGCAGTCCCTGATCAAGACCTCTCATCCACAGCCCACCTGCCTTTGCTTTACAGGGGTGGGAAGACAGCTGAAGACAATGAGTTTGATAGTGCTCCTGCACATTGCTGCTTAAAGTACTGGGAAGAGGAGCAGGAAAAACCTTCAGGAATCCAAAATAAGAATGCATTTCATTAGGTATCTGGGTTGGGAATTATTGCTCAAGAAGTCCTCAGGATGGCCTACAAGCTATGACCTCTCTAACCTGGTTTCCTATGACTCTCCCCCTCACCTACTAGGCTTCTTCAGGGCTGACTTCCTTGATGCGCCTCCAACACTCCAGACTTCCCTCTACCAGCACTACTCTTCCCTCAGACCCCAAACACCCTTCAGGTCTGCTCAAATGCCACTGTGGCAAGGAGGAAAATGGTGCCTTTCCTTTTCCCCTGATACTTATCACCTTCTAATATAACCATGTAATTTACTTATATTTATTTTACTTATTGTTCACTCCATTCTCCCTCAAATATGCGCCAGGGGAGCACGGATCTTTGTTTCGTTGACGATGTATATATCCCAAGAGTTCAGAACAGTGTAGAAGCTCAAAAAAATATTTTATGAATGAACTTGACAGTAAAACTCCAGGGGGAAGGCAAGAGGGGGTGAAATGAAAGGGGGAAGAAATGACAGGGGAACTCTCAAGCGAGAGAGCTGCACTGCTTGCTGATGGGAGGCGGGAGGCGGTGCACGGTATCCCGCCCCCGGCATCAAACAGCAGGCGAGCTCAGAAGACTCAACGGAGAAATTCCAGGGGCAGGGCAGACCCACCCAGGCGGCGGGCTTTGGGCAGGTCCCCACGGGGGCCCGGAGCGCGCAGCCCTTCCCCTCCCGCGGTGCCCAGGACCCCAGCTCCACGCCAAGGTAGTCAGGGGCGGCCCGGGCCGCAGCACCTTCCCGGCTCGGGCCCCTTCACCTAGTCGCCGGCGACCGGGCCCGGCGCTCGGGCACCTGCCTGCCCTCGCCGGAGGTCCCCACCTCAGCCCGCGCGAGATCCCAGCGCGCCCCCGAGGGCCTCACCCCGCCCGGCTTCCCTCCCGCACACGCACAGGAAGCGCCCGCGGCCCTCCCGGCAGCGGGAAGGGGGCTCCCGGCGCCCCTCGCCCCGGCAGCTCCAGCCCGACGCCCCGCCCGCGCGGCGCCCCCTCACCTCAGGGCGCACGTACGACACGAAGGAGGGCTTGGGCGCCTTGGTGCCGCCGCCACCGCCGACTACCCCTTTCCCCAGCATACCGCCGCCCTAGGAAGCAGCGACGCGCGGGAGCAGAGGCGTCCGCTCGGGATCGGCAGCGGCGGCGGCCACCAGCACTGGCGGCGAGGGCTCCGCCCATCTCCGGGGCCGCTGCGGCCGCGGCGACGCCCGCATCCGGCTCCGCCGCTGACACCGCTCGCCCCGCCCACTCCGCGCGCGGGCCCTGGGAGTCGGGAGCCCGCGGCCGAGACCACGCCCCCTCCGCTCGCGGAGGCGGGTCCGACGGGCGGGATTCGCCTCCGGAGATAGGCTCCACTCCGGCAAAGCTCGCCTCATCCGTCCTCTGATTGGGCAGATGGCCCTGCCGGCCTAGCGCCACGCCAAGTTACTTCTTGAATGAACCTGGAGAGATGTTTCCTCTGACCAATCCAAAGAGCGTTCTTTCCGGACTCCCCGGCGGTTGGATAGCAAGAATGTCGGTGTCGTCCAACGATCCTACGGTCACTAAGTTGTGAGCAGTGGTGCATTGCGGTCGTTCTCTTCCCCTTGCTGTTTTGGTGTAAAACTTTCCAAAAGTGCGGTTGTATCGAAATCCTCCGTATGAGTTCCAGATTGACGTCCAGGTTTGTTACTTTTAAAATGTAGGCAAAGATGAGACAAATCATTGTTAACAGGCACTTAGGAATAGGTTTGAATGATCATAAAAGGCCTGTCGACCTCATTTTTCCAGTTTTTTTTTTGTTTCTTTGTGTTATAACAGAATAGTAAAAGCCCTTAAGGGACTTATTTTATCCACTTTCCTAGGTTACCGATAAAATCCTCATTTTTAGTGAAAATTGCAAAGGAAATTCATTTTAATTTCACATTTGCTGCCAGGCATTGTGTTAGACACAAGTGAATAAGACAGGACCCCGCTCTCAAGAAAGTGAGTCTAGTGTAAAAAGAATAAATATTTGCAGTTGATTTTTTTTGGTGTCAGGCACTAATGCTTTTTACCTTCTTCATCTCCATGAGCATCCCTCCCCAAAGCCAAATAAACATAAAATCTAAGTGAAAATGAACGTGCTTACTTTTGCAAACATAGTTTCAGGACAAGTCCTGTAGCCGCATTTCCAGTTAGATGGCCCTCATCAAGCCTATCAGTAATGGCAGCCCTGGAGCCACAGTTAAGTAGCATTATCCTGGTTTTCAGGTGAGACAATAGATGCAAGTAATTTGCCTGGGTCTCACAACTATTCACTGACGGAGCTAGGATTCCGAGCCAGGTTTGTCTGATTCCAAAGCCCCAATTCTTAACTTGTGATTATGCAAATTAGGAGAGAGCACAATTGAAAGCCATAAATTCTGTTTGAGAAGAAAAAGTCAGGCTTCATAAATAAAGACACTCTTCAGGGAGGTGTTGAGGAATGAAGTTATTTGTTCAGACTAAAATATCAGTTTCTTTTACAGCAGTTTTTACTTTCAAAGTGAAGTGACCGGGCAAATTTTTGCTTTCTCACTTTTCAAAGGACTTTGAATTTCCATGGTCTTCCACCATAGTATGTTAGCTTGGGTACTTATGGCCAGGGTTGGCTTCTTGAACATGCAACTAGTGCAGTCATGCAGGGCAGGCACTTAGAAGCGTTTGGGGTTTAATGCTCAGCAGTTGCAACCTTGAAATTCTTAATCATTTTATCTTGAATTTATGTTTTTTAAGTGAAGTTTGATGGGCCGATGGAACAAGCCCAGGGGTCTTGGAGCCTTATTTCCTACACAGTCCCGCCTCCCATCCACTCCCTGCTTCTTCCCTGGTGCTCACTCCCCTAGCACCTTGCCGTGCCCCCAGCCAATACCATGACTGCTGCCCACCTCTGCTGGGGCAGCAAGCTCATTGCTAGGAAGGAGTGAGAAGGGAATCCCGCATTCCACCATCGCCATCCACCTCTCACCCTCATGGGTGCCTGGACACTGGGAAATGATTAGGGTCAGACACAGCCCCCACCCCACCCCTTCCTGTGTTTCTGGGTGAGGTAAACAACCATCCTTGCTCGAGACTGGAAGGACCATGGCTACTGGTGGGAACCTCTTGCCCATGCCCATGCAGATACCAAATGTGGCCAGGCACAGCAGCTCTAACCCCTTGGGGATCGCCCATACACTGTGGGTGGGAATGGTAGTTGACTTCCCTGCCCCTGGCCAGGACCCCACATTTCCATTTTGCACTGCTCTCTGCAAATTATGTAGCTGGCCCTGCCTATGCCCTTTGTTATCTCTGTGTCTTTGAGCAAGGTACTTTGTCTCTCAGTGCCTCTGTTTCTATGTAGGATGATGGCAACGGCAGTGATAATTATCTCCCGGTGGTTGGGGATTGTTCTGAAGCCTAAAGATGATCCAGGTGATGCCCAGTAAGCAACAAGAACTAAATAGGTAACAGCTGTCTTGGTACAATCCTACCAAGCAGGACATAATTTAGCCCTCCCCGCCTCGCCCTACACGGTAGAAAGAGAAGCAAAGTGACTTCTCCCAATAACCAGCTGTGGGACTTTGACAAAGAATTTTTGTTTTTTGCTTGTTTGTTCTTGTTTTTAATTTCTACTCCAATCCTGGGACTAGAAATAACAGCTTTTATTTTTAATCGACTGCACCAAATTTCCCTGTCTTCAAGCCATCCTGCATTATGATAATTACTTTATCCTACTCTTCAACATCCATTTATGGTCAAATTGGTTTGCAGTGTGATAATTCTGGACACTTTACACAACCACTGCACTCATACACCCTTAGGAAACTATAGCCAGAAGCGAGGAAAGATTTTAGAGAGTGAAAGGCTGGCTGCTTCCAGGAGCAGTTTAGACTTAATGATGAAAACCCACACTTTTTTTTTTTTTTAAGTAGGATCTACGCCCAGTGTGGGGTTCGAACTCATGACCCTGAAATCAAGAGTCACGTGCTCCACTGACTGAGCCAGCCAGGTGCCTCATAAAAATAATACTTAAAGAAGCAGTAAGGGAATGAGGACAGAGAATAAACTAACATGTTTCCATCTTGCTCTTAAGCTTTTCCAGCTATCAGCATATTTTTACTTAATCTTTAGGGTGTGGGTCAGATCTCCTTGGGAGAGCCTCTCCCAACTGATTGAAAAATTCCTGTCATGCTGAGGTCAAATAATTCTCCATCTATTAATAAACGCAGATGGAAGTCCTTAGACCTTGAAATATTTTAATTTACACACAGTAGTTTAAAGTCACTCTTTTCTCCTAATGCTGCCCTAAGCTTTCTTGGAGAATTATAAATAGGAACAAATCTTAGCTCACATAGAAACAAGGGCCAGGGGGCGCCTGGTTGGCTCAGTCGTTAAGCGTCTGCCTTTGGCTCAGGTCATGATCCCAGGGTCCTGGGATCGAGCCCCGCATTGGGCTCCCTGCTCAGCAGGGAGCCTGCTTCTCCCTCTCCCCCTCCCCCTGCTTGTGTTCCCTCTCTCGCTGTGTCTCTCTCTGTCAAATAAATAAAATCTTTAAAAAAAAAAAAAAGAAAGAAACAAGGGCCAGACCAAAGGCAGAGCTTCCCCCAGACAAGTGAAACCTACAGCATACTCCAAAATAGGGGAAAATGTTTTCCTCTGGTGGAGAGTTAAGCCTAGCTGCGTTCGCATTTCTCCTCCTTGGAGTCACTTGAAGCAGCCTATGTGTGGGTGTTAATTCATCTTTATCTGGTGTGGGCGCATAGTAGGAATTCAATCAATATTTGCACCTAAGTGAGTGAAATGTTATCAGATGAAAAGCAGCCTAGGCAGCGATTATTAGGTGGGGGAAGCAAGAGTTCAAATATATATCTTATGTATTCTGTTGTAGTACATATATATAATTTTCTTTCTATTTGAAAGAGAGAGAGCGAGAGAGAGAACACAAGCAGGGGGAGTGGGAGAGGGAGAAGCAGGCTTCCTGCGGAGCTGGGAGCCCGACGTGGGACTCGATCCCAGGACCCTGGGATCATGACCTGAACCGAAGGCAGACGCTTAACGACTGGGCCACCCAGGCGCCCTACATATATATAATTTTCAAGGACTAAGATGCACATGTTATTTAATGGCCACTTGCCCACTTCAATTTTAGCAAATGGTCTGGATCCAAAGATTTACCCTCTTCTTTCACTGAAAATAGAAAATTCCTTAGCCTCTTGCTGCAGCCAGGGCTCTTTTTTTTTTTTTAATATTTTATTTATTTATTCATGAGAGACAGAGGGAGAAAGAGAGAAGCAGAGGGAGAAGCAGGCTCCCAAAGAGCAGGGAGCCCAATGCGGGACTCGATCCCAGGACCCTGGGATCATGACCTGAGCCGAAGGCAGACGCTTAACCATCTGAGCCACCCAGGCGCCCAGCCAGGGCTCTTTCAACCTTCCTCTGAGGATGGTGAGTAATAGATCTGGATTAAGAGGCATTTGGATCGTTCTCAGTCTTGTAGCCACTACAATATGAGGGCCTGCTGGGGAGACTCAAATTGTAAACAAAGATGTTCTGGTAATTTTTTCCCCCCACAAAACATGCAAGTTAAGATGATCACGTGGTAGGGGGGCTTGATGAGCCTACTCTATGATCTGTATTCTCATCAAAACGCAAGTTAATGGCCTGATTGGTTTTTTCATTAAGTAAAGATTTACTCACGGCTCACTTTGATTTGTCTCCCAGCCTCTCCCAATAAGACTCAGTTTTGATCTCAAGGTCATGGGATCCCACTCCCAGCATTGGGCTCCAAGCACCTGGCTCCAACAATTAATAGGTGTGTGACTTTTAATTAAGCATTTATCTTCTTAGGTCTCAATTTTTTCACCGATATAATGAGGGTCATGGAGGAGCCTGGCTGGCTCAGTCAAGAGAGCATGCGACTCTTGATCTCGGGGTCATGAATTGAGCCCCACACTGGGTCAGAGATTACTAAATAAACTTGAGGGTTATGAGGATTATAAAGGCATCTACCTCATAGGATTGCTGTGAGGATTAAATAAGTTAATGAATATACAGTGTTTAGAGTGTTGTTACATAAGGTATGAGAACCATAGGATATTCAGTGATCAAAGCAAGGGGCAGAACAGTAGGCAGAGTAGGCTACCATTAGTATAAAAAAGTAGAAATAAAGACTGCATATACCGGGGCGCCTGGGTGGC